ATCTATCTATCTATCTATCTATCTATCTATCTATCTATCTATCTATCTATCTATCTATCTATTTATTTATTTATTTATTTATCTATCTATCTATCTATTGGCCACAGGAGGGCACTGTCTGATAGGTTGTGTCTAAACAAATCAGTTTCTTAAAAAAATAATCAAATTAGGGAGCTGCTACAATGCTTTGTTTTGCATTCTAATTTGGTGACAAACATAATATAGAATTTCAAAATTAAATCAAAGTGTTGGTGACAAATTAGGCTTTATATCGTTATAGGTTGTGCTATTTTATTACATGAAAACCCAAACATTTTACCATCAAGGTATTTGCATTGTCTGAGAAGTGATTTTAAATGTCCTTAAGTTTTGAATAAAGTGAAAAAATACCAAAATCTACATTCATRAATCATATTTAACTGTCCTGGATCTACTTTATGAAATCAACTAGGGTCCTTTATGTAAAGGAGGCCCTTTGGAATGAATAAAGGARTTATGAATAAAGGAGTTATGGTACATATGTTCAAAGTCACTGTCCAATTAAAGTTGCATGAAAATGTTTTATTATGTGCCACAGTGGGTTTTATTGGCTGATGAAGTGTTGACTTGTGTGTAAATACAATTAACTTTATTGACTGATGGCAAAGTTTGATGGGCACAAAGAGCAGGTTTTCACTGATGTAAGATAAAATTTTCACTGATATAAGATCATGTTTTCATTGATACAAATGGTAAATGGTAAATGGACTGAGCTTATACAGTGCTTTATCAAGTCCCTCCGGACCCCAAAGAGCTTTACACTTACAGACATTCACCCATTCACACTCACATTCACACACTTGATGATGGCAAACTACATTGTAGCCACAGTTGCCCTGGGACAAACTGACAGAGGTGGGGCTGCCATGCACTGGCAACACTGGACCCTCTAACCACCATCAGTAGGCAAGGTGGGTGAAGTGTCTTGCCCAAGGACACAACAACTGAAACGGCTGGACAGGGGATTGAACTGGTGACCTTTCGGTTCCAGGACGACTCCCCTAACCATTCTGCAGGCGCCCCATTATACCATGTTTTCACTGATGTAAGATCATGTTTTCACTGATGTAAGATCATGTTTTCACTAATGTAAGATCATGTTTTCACTGATGCAAGATCAGGTTTTCACTGATGTCAGATCAAGTTTTTTCTGATGTAAGATCACGTTTTCACTGATGTAAAATCACTTTTTTACTGATGTAAGATCAAGTTTTCACTGATCTAAGATCATGTTTTCCCTAGTACAGTATAAGACCAACCATCTTTTTACTGATGTAAGATCAAGYTTTCACAAATGTAAGATCAGGTTTTCACTGATCTAAGATCATGTTTTCCCTAGTACAGTATAAGACCAACCATCTTTTTACTGATGTAAGATCAAACTTTCACTAATGTAAGATCAAGTTTTCACTGATGTAAGATCAGGTTTTCACTGAAAGATCATGTTTTCACTGATGTAAATTCTTGTTTTCACTGATGTAAGATCATGTTTCCACTAATGCAAGATCATGTTTCCACTAATGTAAGATCATGTTTTCACTGATGTCAGATCAAGTTTTCACTGATGTCAGATCAAGTTTTCACTGATGTAAGATATGTTTCCACTAATGTAAGATCATGTTTTCACTGATGTCAGATCAAGTTTTCACTGATGTCAGATCAAGTTTTCACTGATGTCAAATCAAGTTTTCACTGATGTCAGATCAAGTTTTCA